TTTTTTTTTTTTTTTTTTAAAGAAACAGGGTCTGCCGGGCAGTGGTGGTGCACGCCTTTAATCCCAGCACTCTGGTGGCAGAGGCAGGCGGATCTCTGTGAGTTCGAGACCAGCCTGGTCTACAAGAGCTAGTTCCAGGACAGGCTCCAAAACCACAGAGAAACCCTGTCTCGAAAAACCAAAAAAAGAAAAAAAAAAGAAAAAAAAGAAAAGAAACAGGTTCTCATTTTGTAATATATGCTGGTTCTGGAACTCACTACCTAACAAGCTGACCCAGAATTTACATCAATACTCTTGCTTCAGACTTTCAGTCGCTGGTATTACAAGTGTAAGCCACTATGCGCAGCGAAAAACCTCTTTAGAAATAAGAAAAGACCAATAACTATGACTTGAAAGAAATAAAATAATTCCGGCCAGTGGTGGTGGCACACGCCTTTAATACCCAGCACTCAGAAGGCAGAGACATGCAGATCTCTGTGAGTTCGAGGCCAACCTGGTCTACAGAGTGAGTTCCAGGACAGGCTCCAAAGCTACAGAGAAACCGTTTCAAAAAAACAAAACAAAAAAGCCAAACTCATTGTAGTCTAAGCAGTATCTGTGAATTTGTCTCCAATAGAAAAAATTTAAATTTACTCACTTTAACTCTCTCTTTTCCCTCTCCCTCCTCCCCATACCTCTTTCTCTGACGGGGCCTCAGGTTGGCCTGAAACTTCAGAACCTCTGCCTCCACCTCCCCCAAGCGCTTAGAGTTGTGTGCCACCACTACCGGTTTATTGCAGTACTGGGGTCAAATCCTGGGCTTAGTGCACACTAGGCTAGCTATATTCCCATCCCAACATTAACTGTTTAATTAGGGAAGGACGGGGGGGGGGGTGGAGGGCCCACACAACTTCCCTTTACTATCCTGATAACTACTGTAACCGTGTAATTGGTTTCATTTATGATCCTGTGTACATCTGCATTTAAGAGTGTTCTTCGGAAAAGGGGTTCCTAAACTTCCCCAGACTATGAAAATCCACCGCATGAACCCTAGTCAGTATTCATCTTATTCAGTTAACACTCTTCTCCCTCAAAAATGGCATGTAACAAAATTTCCATAGTGATGCGGCATCAGGTACATCCAGAAGCTACTGAAGCCAAGCAATCAGGGACGCTTTCAGATCCCATAAAGAATTCAACTCCAGCCACCAAGTCACCCACCGATAGAAGTTACCGTACGCCGCGTCCCCGCCCCTGCTCCAGGCCCCTGTTCCCAAAGCCACTCGAAAATTCAGCGCCCAAACCATAGCTTGGGAAACTCACGCTTCTGTGCTTCCATCTTCCGGGACGATTCCCTCATCTATCAGCTGCCGAACTTTCTGGGGCGTCCCTTCAGGGGAACGAACAACTGCACCCCAAGTCTTTTCAATACCCGCGGCAAACAGCTGCCCCTCACTGGGAGCCGCCATCTTGGTCCGTTCCTGACTTGTGTCCCCACGCGTCTGGAGGCTCAGGAACTTCCGTTCTGGGTTAAGACCCGCCCCTCTAGCCAAGCGGTGGTGATGCGCGCCTTTAAGTCCAGCAGCACTCGGGAGGCAGAGGCAAGCAAATCTCTGTGAGTGCGAGGCCAGCCTGATCTACAGAGTGAGTTCCAGAACTGGCTCCATAGCTACTGAGAAATCCTGTCTCGAAAAACCAAGGGGAAAAAAAAAGACTCGCCCCTCTGGCCGTAGGTTCCACTTTTCCTGGTTTTTAAAAATGATTTAAAGAGTGATTATAATGTTTAAAACTGAACTATTTCTCTGATGAACTAGCATATTTAGGTTAATAAAAAAAAACTGCACAGGGTATCTCTGTGCAGCCTTGACTGGCCTGAAACTCGCTCTATAGACTGGACTGACGTCGAATTTATAGAGGTCCACCTGTCTCTGCCTCTGAATACTGGGATTAAAGGCGTGTGCCACCACCACCCGGCTGAGATTTTTCTTTTTTAGTATAGGGTCTTACGCAGTCCTGCAATTCAAGAAATCTACTTACCTCTGCCTCACAAGTGCTAGAATTAAAGGCGTGCACCACCACAATAAAGGATTTAAAAAGCAACGTCTCTCCAGATTCAGCGGGAATGAAGGACTTTGTTGCAGCCAGCGAATAAAGATCATACTGACTCTCCTAAAGTTCATTGCTTTCCAGGTAAGGAAATGGCAATCCTTAGCTGAGAACAAATAACTTGAAACCCTTCTTAGGGACTGTTATGAGTGGAAGAAGCCTGTGGCTTTAACACCATCCTCTTTTGTTTAGGAAACATCTATCTATCTATCTATCTATCTATCTATCTGTCTGTCTGTCTGTCTGTCTGTCTGTCTGTCTGTCTATCTATCTATCTATCTATCTATCTATCTATGCATCTATCTATTTATTTTGGTTTTTCAAGACAGGGTTTCTCTGTAGCTTTGGAGCCTATCCTGGCACTCACTCTGTAGACCAGGCTGGCCTCTAATTTACAGAGATCCATCTCCCAAGTACTGGGATTAAAGGTGTGTGCCACTTACCGCCGAGTTTAGCAAACATTTATTAACTATTGCCTTGATATAGTAGGAACTGTCGATAAAATAGTGAACAAGAGAGCCGGGCAGTGGTGGCAAATGCCTTTAATCCCAGCACTTGGAAGGCAGAGGCAGGTGGATCTCTGTGACCTAGTCTACAAGAGCTAGTTCCAGGACAAGCTTCAGAGAAACCCTATCTCAATAAATAAATAAATAAATAAAACAAAAACCCTTCAAATTAAAAAAAAAACTGTAGGCCAGGTTTACCTACAAAGTTCAGGGCAGCCTAGGCTACATTTTAAAAGGGAGTGGGTCTGGAGAGATGACTCAGAAGTTAAGAGCGTTTGTTGTTCTTGCAGAGGATCTGGATTCAGTCACCAGCATCTCCATGGTGGTTCATATTTACTTATTTATTTATTTATGAAAAGGTGGGAGCTGGAGAGGTGACTTGGTGGTAAGAGCACTGTCAGTTTGTTTGCTCTTGCAGAGGACCTGGGTTTCCTTCCTGGCACCCATAGTGGGCTGCCTCCTATAATTCCAGTTCCAGGGAATCTGATGCCCTCTTCTGGCTTTCCAGGCACCTGCATGAATATGGTGTACATACACACTCTCAGGCACACTTAGATACACACAATATAGACAAATCTTTTTTTAAAAGAATACTTTTTTCTGTTTGTTTGTTTGTTTTTCGAGACAGGGTTTCTCTGTGGTTTTGGAGCCTGTCCTGGAACTAGCTCTTGTAGACCAGGCTGGTCTCGAACTCACAGAGATCTGCCTGCCTCTGCTTCTCAAGTGCTGGGATTAAAGGCATGCGTCACCACCGCCCGGCAAGAATACTTTTTTAATATTTATTTATTTATTTATTTATTTATTTATTTATTTATTTATTTATTTATTTATTTATTTATTTATTTATTTATTTATTATGTATGCAATATTCTGTCTGTGTGTATGCCTGCTGGCCAGAAGAGGACACCAGACCTCATTATAGATGGTTGTGAGCCACCATGTGGTTGACTGGGAATTGAACTCAAGACCTTTGGAAGAGCAGGCAATGCTCTTAACCTCTGAGCCACCTCGCCAGCCCCCCAAAATTTTTTTTGTTGTTGTTGTTTTTGTTTTTCAAGACAGGGTTTCTCTGTGGTTTTAGAGCCTGTCCTGGAACTAGCTTTTGCAGACCAGGCTGGTCTAGAACTCACAGAGATCCACCTGCTTCTGCCTCCTGAGTGCTGGGATTAAAGGCGTGCGCCACCACCGCCCATTTTTTTTTTAAAATAGAACAGAAGATCCCAGTCTTCGTACTGAGGTAGATAAGGTTGTTGGGAAGAAAACTGTACAAAATTTTCCAGAACCTTCTGCTGGAAGACTGATGTGTAGGAAGAGTGAAGAACGAGACAATAGAGCCAGGCGGTGATGGCACATGCCTTTAATCCCAGCACTCAGGAGGCAGAGGCAGGCGGATCTCTGTGAGTTCGAGGTCAGCCTGGGCTACGAGAGCAAGTTCCAGGACAGGCTCCAAAGCTACAAAGAAACCCTGTCTCGAAAAACCAAAAAATGAAAAAGAAAGAAGCAGGGCGATGGTGGCACATGCCTTTAATCCCAGCACTCGGGAGGCAGAGGCAGGTGGATCTCTGTGAGTTCAAGACCAGCCTGGTCTACAGAGCTAGTTCCGGGACAGGCTCCAAAGCCACAGAGAAACCCTGTCTCGACAAACCAAAAAAAAAAAAAAAAAAAAAAAAAAAAAAAAAAAAAAAAAAAAAAAAAAAAAAAAAAAAAAAGAACAACCAAAGAACAAAAAAAAAAAAAAAAAAAAAAAAAAAAAAAAAAAAAAAAAAAAAAAAAAAAAAAAAAAAAAAAAAGAAAAGAAAAGAAAGAAAAGAACGAGACAATGGAATGGGCTCCTGACTTCAGCACTGTTCTCAAACACCAGATCCTGAAACCTATGGTTCTAACACTTGGGAGGCAGATCTCTGCAAGTTTGTGGCCAGCTCGTTTGCATAGTTCCAGGCCAGCCAGAGCCCCATAATGAGGCCTTGTTTCCAAAAAAGGAGAGGACAAAGGAATTCTTACTCCAGAATTTGGTTATATACCCTGCTGACCAAGAGCCAGAAAATTCAGGAAAACTGAAGATAGCTTCCAGAGATAATGCTGATTTTTCTGTAAACAACCATCTTGTTTTCCTCAAACAAGAATATTTGCATTATTTGTTTTGTTTTTGAGACAAGATTTCCCTATGTAACAGAATGATTTAATAAATAAACTACTTATATGGAGCTGGAATGCCTGCAGCCTTGAGTTTGAGCTTCCGTTGTATCAAATGTGTGAACACTCCTCTCCCATCCCAACCTAAATAGTGCAGCTCAAAATCTCACCTAAAAGTGTCATTTATTGGGGCAGTGCTGACACACACTTTTAATTACAGCACTCAGAGACAGGAGAATCTCTGTGGCATACAGAGGTAGTTCCAGGACAACCAGGGCTACACAAAAAAACCCTGTCACGAAAACAAAAAACAAAACCAAAAGAAAGAAAAAGAAAAAAAAAAAGAGGAAAAAATCCCATTCCCAAAAGGAGATCCTTTGAGGAAAAAAAAACTGTATTTTTTTTTTTACTTAATTTTAAATCTTTAATACTTAAGCTTTGCTTAATCTTTATTTTCAACTCCTTTCTTCTTTTCCAGACAGGGTCTCACTATAGCCACGACTGTCCTGGAACCTACTTTATAGAACAGGTTGTGTAATGGTCTGCTCTGTCCCTTAAGAGACAAGCCATGCTGGGTGGTGGTGGCACACGCCTTTAATCCCAGCACTTGGGAGGCAGATCTCTGTGAGTTCAAGGCCAGCCTGGTCTACAGAGCTAGTTCCAGGACAGGCTCCAAAGCCACAGAGAAACCGTAGCTCTTATAGACCAGGCTGGCCTTGAACCCACAGAGATCTGCCTACCTCTGCCTCCTGGGTGCTGGGATTGAAGTGTGTGCCACCACTGCCTATTGCCTCTCTCTCTCTTAAATAAACAAAGGGTTTTGTAGTTCATCCTAAGCTATCTATTTGACTATCTCCAGGGAAGATTTTTCTAGCATTTCGTATTCCCTGGGCAGGGTTTTCCACAAATCTTACTTTTAATCAAATGGCTTTTTTTCCCCCCTGAGTGATTTTCAGTTCACAGCAAATTAAAGAGAAAGCACAGAGAGTTCACAGCCACCCTGTCCCTGCTGTGCAGTCTCCCCATCCATCAACACACTGCGCGAGTGTGTGGCTCATTTGTTAGAATCGATGGACCAGTGTTGACACATCGTTATCAGCCAAAGTTCAGAGTCTGCACGAGTGTAATCTAGAAGTGTTCCTTCTGGAACTATTTTTAAAAGCCTTTCTAGGCAAGGGGAAGAAAAAAAAATCAAATCTACTTTTTTAAAAACTGGAGTGAGAATACAATGAACTCTGAGGATGCGTCGTCTAGCTACAGCTGGCATCGATTCTTAACCATCCTAATCTGAATTATCATCTTTCTCCGGTGCCCTCCATCCTACCCTGCCACATCCTTGCCCCACTTGCATCTTCTGTTATTCTAAATCGCATACTAAAATATTAATATCACAGGGCTTTAATTTTATTTATTTATTTATTTATTTATTTATTTATTTATTTATTTATGCGTATGTGTGTAGGTGTTTTGCCTGCATGTTTGTCTGTGCGCCTGGGGAGACCAGAAGAGGCCTTCAGATCTGGAACTGGGGTTACAAAGGGTTATGAATTAGCATGTGTAGTGTTAGGAGCGGCAGGGCTGCGTCCCCGGCACCCGGCCGCCCGCATGGCTAGCTTTACCCGAAATAATTACACGGAAACTGTATTCTTTTAAACACTGCCTGGCCCGTTATCTGTAGCCTCTTATTGGCTAGCTCTTACATATTAATCTAACCCATTTTTAATAATCTGTGTAGCCCACGAGGTGGCTTACCAGGGAGGATCTTAACCTGCGTCTGTCTGGAGTGGGAGAACCATGGCGGCTTCCTGGCTCAGCTTCTTTCTCCCAGCATTCTCTTCTGTTTACTCCACCCACCTATGTTCTAACCAATAAAATGGGCCAAGGCAGTTTCTTTATTATAATTAACCAATGTCCTTCCTCCATCAAGCATGTGTGCCCTGAGAATTAAACCTGAGTCTTCTGAAAGAGCAGCCAGTACTCTTAACCACTGAGTCATTTTAGCTCTATCATAGGGGCTTAGCTATAAACATAAATATTTCCGCCTAGTTTTTTTATTAAATTTTTTTGTTTGTTTCTGCTTTTCAAGACAGGGTTTCTCTGTGTAACAGTCCTGGCTGTCCTGGACTCACTTTATAAACAAGGCTGGCCTGGAACTCATAGAGATCTGCCTGCCTCTGCCTCTTGAGTGCTTGGATTAAAGGTGTGCACCGCCACTACCTACCCCAAGATTTGTTTTCTTAATGTATGTGTGTCCGTGTTTGCATATATGACTGTGAACCATGTTCTTGTCTGCTGGCCACAGAGGTCAGAAGAGGGTGTTGTATTTCCTGGAACTGCAGTTACAGAAGGTTGTGAGCCACCATGTGGATGCTGTGAATAGTTCCTCTGGAAGAACAGCCAGTGTTCTTAACTGCTAAGCCATCTCTCCAACATCTCCCTCCTTTGGAGACAGTATCTCACTAGGTAGCTGATATAGATATGAATAATTTACATTAGTATGGATTTTAAGGTCAATTTTGTTATATGTATATGTATTTCTGATATTAATTAAGGTATTGTGATTGTGAAGTTCATTTAAAATGTAATGTATAATTAGGAAGTATAGGTTGTTAGTGGATAATCATTGATAATAGTAAAGCTATTATTTTACTAGAAAAATGTTAGATTTTCTAGATATATAGAGATATATTTCAGTTAGATAGGCATTCTTCATATCTTTCAAAGACTGTAGAATATGGCATTTAAATGTTTTAATAACTTAGGGCTTTTCATGACAATGAGACACGTCTGCTCCTGGCAGCACCAGCTACTTCAAAAGGAAGATGGGCATCGAAGAGGATCTTTATGGAGTTGGATAGTCATTTGGGCAAGAAACTGCTCTTGCCTGGACTGTTGCATAAACTGGATACAGAGAACCCGC